CCTTGTCCTTGTCATTCCTAGGGACAGAGGGTCACCAGGACACCTTACCACAAAGTGGCCTAACACTTGTTGAGGGGGGACCTTTCTTGTGCCTTCTTGATCAGCACCACCTGCCCAGAGCTGGGATTATTGATTGCACTGTTCCACTGCTGGTCTTCTTAACATTTTGATAAAATAAATGCACAGTGCTACAGTACTGGCTTAGTAGCATTTTCTGTTGCCTTTGTGCAGATGTCAGTGCTGAGTCCAACCTGCTTTTTTCCATTTTATAAACTTGCTTTTCTGTAGGCAAGGAAGGAGACACATGCTCTGCCTTCTCCCACATGGAAGGTTCTGTGTAATGGAAATCAGTCCCAGTAACAGTCTCCCCTTGCATTTTCTTTTTTAAATTATTATTTTTTATTTTTTGTTTGTTTTTAACCGATGCAGAGACATTTTCACATCTCCAGCTCTCAGTCCTTTAGAGCACAGGGATACTTTAAATGCCACACATGTGCAGCCACCTGTATCCTCAGTCATTTTGCATGGCAGGGTGTGGAAGTCTGCCCTTCACTGAGATCCCCTCACCAGTAGCACTCCCTCCAGAACATCATCTAGCAAAGCAATCCTTCAAGGTGCACATTGTAGTTTACCCTTGTCACTTCCACCAGAGCCTGTCTGCTGTTAGCAAAGCACGTCTGCTCCTCCTGAACCCATGAGCATTGAGTCTGGTTTTGGGACTAGTGCATAGCTGTGTATCCAAAAGTCAGGGCAGCAGCCCTCTGGTACATTTACTGCTGGAAATTTCCAGGTCTTGGGATGTATGTGTAAGAGCAGCAGAAGCTGTGAAACTTGAGTGTTTGACTTTTCCTTGCAAGACTAAATTTTCCTGTACTTAGGAAGCTTGGTGGATGCTGTTCCTTCAGCTAGTGTATTTGTAAGGTGTCTCGCCTCCATACAAGTCCTCTTGGGTCCAGTGACAGGTCAGCTCACATCACTGCTCTCTGCCCAGGAAGTCAATAATTTGGGTCTTTCTCCTCTACCCAGCTGCTCAGTTTTACGGCATGTGGAAGAACTCGGATGCTTTTGAGATCTCTCTATCATCCTGAAAATTTTGGTTGAAACTGGCATCTGATTTCCTTCTGAAATGAGAGGAACAAGAAAATATCATATGTTGAATTGGACTGAAGTTCAGGGAAGCACTTACCCTCTGAATTTTCACATTCTTAAATAATTTACTTTGGTTTAAGTTCAAGTGGTCTTCAAGTGACATTTTGTGCCACTTTTACCATGTGTGGGGCTGTTTTTTTGAGGAAAAGTGGGAGAAGTTTTTACATCCAACACGGACTTCTTTACAAATATCTAATGATACTGTAAAGATTTTTACTTGCTATGGTTTATATTAAAAAGCCCAGAAACAGGGGGGCAATACTGCAGCAGTTTAAGAAAGATGTGTATTAGAATCACAGAAGAGTCAGTCAGAAGGGACCTCTCGTGGTTGTTAGTCCAAGCTCCTGCTTGAAGCAGGACTAACTTCAAAGTTTGCTCAGGTTGCTCAGGGCTTTGTCAAGTTGAGTTTTAAAAATCTCCTAGGATGGAGGTTGATCATCCTTTCCAGGTCCCTCTTCCAATTTAGTGCCGTGCTCAGGGGAGGATTTTCCTCTTCTGCTCAACTGGAATTTCCCTTCTGCAGCCTGGGGGGGTTGTTGCCTTTCCTCCTGTCACTGTGCTCTTCGGAGAAGGGTTTGACTCTGTCTACACCACCTGCCTTTTCCCTCATCCAAACCACTGTTGGTACAATGAGACGGATCTCCTTGAGGTTGTTCGCTTGTTTGTTTTCTTCTCTCTGGTGCTTCCCTCATTTCTGTTTTCTGCAAGTGATTGACAGCCTGATTGACAGAAAATGAAGTGTTGCAAGCAGAGAACTCTTAAATTCCTGTATGCCAAATACTAATGTTAGTTATTATCCAACTTAATAGTGGAAGAGGTTTCATCCTGCTGTGAACATAACAGTATCAATCAACAGTGAGCAAAAAGGCATGAAGTTAAAACCTTCAGGTCTTCTTCAGTGGCAAGTAAGGTGGCAACTAGACACCAGCTCAGGCCTTGCCTGAACACTTGAGATGAGACCAGAAACTTCATAATAAAAAGCTAATTTCTTAGCAATATCCGAGCTGGATGTCTCAGTGATGGTTGTCAAGATGTTTTTATTCAGGTAACTTTTTCTTAAGAAGCATTGCTGTGTATTTCAGCAAGATTTCTCATGTAATGAGATGCAAGAGTTCAGGCAATATCCTATTCAGATACATTTCTATTTGATAATAAAAATGACATTGACACTGAGGGATTGCACTGAATAAATTATTACCTTGAATTCGGTTTTACACCAAAGCCAGGATGTGTCCTGTAAGCTCACAGCTGTTTTAATTTTTTTTTCTTTTCCTCATCTAGACAGCTATATATCCATGAGATTTATTTCTTGATCTATATGGACATGCAGTCCTTCTTGGGATTATTGCCATAGAAACAAGACATAACATAGAGCGTGTTAGAAGTAACAAATGGGATTTGGCAGTCTCTCCCATTTACTACACGAATCTGAGCTGTGTACAAAAAGCAGCAATTACTTGCTCTCAGAACCTTATTAACAGGCACATCTGCACGTTCATTAAAACTAGATACTTCAACTTCCATTCTGACTGGGATGGCGTTCAGATATTCTGGTCCTTAAACTAAACTAAAATCCCTTGACATCTTATTTTGTTTTTCAGTCGGGGCAGGAATTTGTTAGGTTTGACATTTTGGTTCCTTTTTTGTTTGATTGCAAATCCCACAGGCAGCCCGTGCTGTGTGAGCTTCCCAGAAGGAGATAAGATGCAGTAACTGAGCTGCTGGCTCCTGGGGAGCAGTCCCTCCTTTGAAGGATGAAGTCACCCAAGTTTTGCTTGTAAAGCCTGATCTCCCACGGTGCTGGGACCCAGCTCCCAGCCTCTCCCAGGGCTTCACACCCTGCCTGGCTCGCAGGCACGCTGCCCTTCTCATCCTCGGCGGCCCGAGGTTGCTGTGAGTTGGCAAATTGCAACAGCCTTGGCTTGGGGGAGTAGATGTGTTGTGCCAGGCAGAGAGATGCTTTTGCAGGAGTAAATACACCCCGCACTGCACGTGGAGCTAAAGCCGAGCTGGCTGGCTGGGTCACTGCACGTTCCCCGGTACACGTGACGGAGAAACGCAAACTCAGGTTCTTAAACCAAACCCATGGGGCAGCTTTTGAAGTTGTGTGGGATGGTGAAGAAGCAGAAAACCAAACAGAGCAGGGTAAAGAACAGGGCAGAGAGAGATATTGGAAAATCAGGCGTATGTGCTGCCTGCCTGTGGCGAGGCACCAGCCGGCAGGACGAGCCGGCGGGCCCGGGCGTAGCGGCAGGCGGGCGCTGTCAGCCTGTGGCCATGCCCCGTCCGACGTGGGAGGTCGGTGCCAGCTCAGCAGGCCCCAGGGTGCAGATCTTGCTCTTCCAGCAGAAAGAGGTTGTGCTCAGGAGGGAGAGCTGGAGTCCTGGGAGGTGTTTTGTAGCTGCTCGGGGGAGCAGAGGTTGACTCTAGGACTCTTCCTTTCTGTCATCTCTTTCCCATCCTCCCTCACACCAAATAAAATCATCTTCCCTTCCATCGTCTCTTTCCCATCCTCCCTCACACCGAGTAAAATCACATTTAGAAGCAAATTGTCAGGTCACAGAGGGGTCCCTTTGCTGACCCAGGAGTGAGAATGCACTGTCCTTTTCCCAGTCCACATCCTATAACGCTGCCCCTAGTTGTGAGTAGAGCATCTTCTAGGGGGAAATTGAGAGGCAGCTGGAGATGCTTTAAAGCTCTCGGAGCAAAATCTGTCATTCCCCTGCACCAATTCAGGAACAAACCAACTTTACTCAGCAGAAGAAACATCTAAAGCTGATTGTAAGCCACCGAGTTGAGATGGAGCCTAGAATGAAACCCAGAGAACTGACATACAGGGAGGTTGTAACTGGGCTGCACGCTCCGAGTTTCCCTGGCCTCCTTTTCAGAGGTGCTGAGCACTCTGCATCTCTAGTGAAGCCGATGAGTGCTCAGGATCTTTTTGAAACATTTATTTAGTGCCTAAGTATAGATCTAGGACTGACTAACTTCAGAGTCCAAAAATAGTGCAGGTGTCTGCCTTCTCCCTCTTCCTCCTTTCTCTTTGCTCTTTACTCTCTTCTTCAGCTCTCACATTCTCTGTTCCCTCCAACTCCTGTCATTTTTCCATCCTCTTCCAGTTGACTTTGGCTCCTGCTGGTACCCCTCGCTCACTCTGATACCTCTTCTGTCGCGTGGGAGCCACAGAGCATTTCTCAAGGTCCATTGTGAGCAAGCCTGGGGCAGCACCCCTTTTCTCTCCCTCTCTCCCCCTAAATCCTTCCTGCCTTATTCTCAGGGGGACAGAGGTTCGAGCCAACAGCTCTGATGTGTTTAAGAACCTACTGAATTCAAGTCCCAAGTATCTCGCCTCTCCTACATGGGACTGACCAGGGCAGGTAGCAAAAGGGGATCACCACAGATCTGTTGATTGGACTGGGAACCTAAAGCAACTGTTGTCCCTTTTCTGGCCCAAAAGCATAAATCTGAATGTTCCATTTTCCTGTGTATTTCCCATTGCAGACATGACCTGCCAACAACAACTATAAAAGAGGTTATAACCAGAGAATCACAGAATGGTGGGAGTTGGAAGGGACCTCTGGAGATCATCTAGTCCAACCCCCCTGCCAAAGCAGGTTTACCTGGAGCAAGCTGCACAGGCCTGCATCCAGGCGGTTTTTTAATATCTCCAGAGATGGAGACTCCACAACCTCTCTGGGCAGCCTGTCCCAGTGCTTATCCAGGGTTAACGTTGATTTTGTGAACAAGAAGCTCTCACTAGTGGCTTGTGTTTTTCAGATCACCAGAAGACAGATGTGGCTGTGAATCTGATGGGTCTTGTCCCTGACATGAGTTTCTCTCTGTTGCAGGAAGGCATGCCCCAAACGCTGAGTTCCACCAGTATGTTTACCCCATGTGGCTTCAGCCCTCATCTACATACTTCAAAAGAAGATGAACAAGGAGGACTGATCTTCCAAGATGGAAACCTTACCTCAGCATCTCTGGATGCTCTAATCCAGCATCTGATACCTACCACTGATTACTACCCTGAAGTAAGCAATTCACAGTATAATAAACAGTTTAATTTTGATGAATTGGGGCAGCACTTTATGCAAAAGTGCAAATGTGTTAAATTTTGAATTAAGAGGGCTAATTTAAAAGCTGCATGCAATTAAAGGTTGGTAAATTGATGCATTGCTTTAAATGCTGTTTGACTGCTCTATAATTGTTCCTGCGAAAAAGCAGATCCCAAACTTGATCCTGCCTTTAAATAAGAGAACAGGGTAGGGGGGGAAAAGCTGTGATGGTGATGAATTAGTGATATAGCAGTGAGAGCACTTCAAAAATAGCAGTGCAGCCCAAAGAGGTTTAGATGGAAGACTGAAGCAAAAAAAAAGTCATCTGAACTGCATTAAATTATCTGAATTCCAGTAGCTGCTGAAGTCATCCAGGTTTGTCTGCACGTACAAAGCATTCCCTCAGTGACAACAGCCATGCTGCTTCTGATGGGTTTGGAATTTACCTGGGGTTATATTCACACCAACTTTGAAGTCACTGGACAGCACAGTCCAGATCCTAATCCTTCCTCCATCAGTGAATATTCATTGTTTCCTCCACCAACAGTGTGAGGATCTAAACTGGAAGCAGGTTTATGGTTCTGCAAGCCATTGACTTCACTGGATTTTGCACATCCTCAGTGGAATTCAGGAGGGAGTTTGACTAGAAGACTTTTAAGTGCTAATATATCTCCATGGAACGGCTTGTATTTCAAAGCACAGAGTAGCATTGAGTTCTGTGCAGTTGAGAAGACTATGAAAGTTATCAATGCAGAGCAGACAGCATGTTTTAAATTACCCGCAGCTCAGTTTCTGATCAGCTAAAAATAAGTAATAAAGAAGTGCATAAATTAAAAAAAGAAGAGAACAGAAAGGCAATAAAAATAGGGAATGGACAGATTAGGCTGTGAGATTTTCATTAAGCAATGTGTGATATGTAATATTATACCTGCTGCTCAGGAGCATGGCCAGGTCTGGGGGAAAGAAGATAATTTGAGTGCCTGGAGGGGTCAGGATGCAAACAACTGAGGATTCATGCATATATTTTAAATTCACTGCTGGAATACTTTAAATAATCCAAGGATTTATCCAACAGGCCTGCTTCCCACAGGTTCGCAGATGTTGGGACTGCATGTGATATGGCTTGGCTGATAGAAATGAATTTTGGGGAGTTAGTTAAATATTCTTTCAAACAGGGTAGGTGATGCAGGGCAATAGCAAGATGTGACTAATCTGGAGGTATCTGCATCTCAACCCAGTAGAACACAGCAATGAGTGTCTACACATTTAGCTTTCACTGGTCTCCCTGCACCACTAGTTGTGCTCTCTCCTGTACCTGGGCTCACTCCTGTAGAGTGACCTACACACTGTCTTTGCTGGATGTTTGCACAGGGTTGGCCAACCAAAGGCTGAAGTGGATGCTGTGGAGGAAGGAGGTGCCACTGCCTCCTGCACCCACTGTAGCCAGTTCCATTTTCAGCGTCAGAACCTTATATCTTTAGATATAAAAGTCTGTCCCAGTAGAAATGCAAAAAGCCATGGAGTTCAGGGCTTTTATGGCTAATATTACCCATTGTGTGGCTGCTTACAGCAGGTCTGCTTGTCTTTCTCCCACAGAAAGCCTATATCTTTATTTTTTTTTCAGACTCTTCATCGAACCCCATGAGCTTTTGTCCCGAGTTTGTCACAAGTGCATTGAGCAGCAACGGCTGGACGACCCTGTGCTGGACAAGGTTAGTTTATCTTTACAGCAGAACAATGTGAGGTATTTTGAATGGGCAGAGAATTCTGGGGCTCTGGTGTGTGTGCTTTGCGTCCCTTTGGATAGAACAAAGCTTTCTTATAAAGGATGATGGTTGCTTCTGAGATCCTGACATCGAGGCATCCTAGTATCCATGTCCAAGAGCAGTGCTCCAGGCACTAATCACTTCAAATCTTCTTCTAAATTTCCCTTTCCCCCTGTCTCAGTCTTCCCAGCTGACTTGCCTTCTTAACTTCTTTAAGGCTTTGATGAAGCCTGCAGGATGCAAAGAGGTAGGACGTAAACCTCACACACTGTCAACTGCAAATGTCGACACACCACTCTCCCATTTTTACTTAATGCTCCTGCCCTTTTACTTTCTTGCTTCTGGTACAGTAATATTTCTTCTTGGCCTTACCTGTCACTTTGAACACCACGTAACGGCACGCAGCTACCCACTAACCTCCCATCGCCAGCACTGACAGATCATCTGCAGAGCCGTACTGCAGGGCAGTGCTGTGTGGCACACCAGGAACAAGTTGAAAGGAGTAGTGAGGCTGTGATGAGCTAACAGAATGAGAAAATCCAAGCTGTTACTGCATCAGCACTCCTCCTGCTTTGCCCTAGGGACTGTGCAGACTGATACAGCGTGTAACAACACATGTGCATCCTCTGGCAGTCCCACAGATGCTACGGTGGAGATGGATCCCACTGGATCTTATTCAGTGCTGGATTCCACCCAAGCTCTCCTCAGTGCACTGATGAAGACGTATCCAGTACATTGCCTGGAGCTGGAGATGCACCTTCAGTGCAGTAGAGGGAAAAAGAATGTCCATTAGTTGTAACTTTGCAAAAACCCCCAAATTCTGAAATTATTCTTAAGATGAGCCTTTCCAGCTCTGAAACAGTATTTTTGGTGTCAAATACGGAATCACCAGTATCTGAACACGTGTTCTTGTTTTTGCTCAGGCAACTGGAGCAAAAGTAACAAGAGCTCTGTCCTCGCTGTGGAGAGCAATCAGCCAAACTACGTAGAAATCGGATACTTGGCTTGTCTGCACAATCTGCATTAATAGAAATATCGATATGAGGTGCAGCATTCAAAACAATTTTTGTGAGGTCTGATGGGTTCTGTTCTCTGATGCTATGGCAGATGCCAATTTAGGAGGATTAAAATGTGAACATTGCAAAATTTTGCTCATTAAACTTTGCAAGGAATAGAAACATCTTATTAGGAAGATCTCGTAATCTAACCGAGGTGAGTCTGCATTTTGGACTAGTCTGTAGTAACGCAGAGTTGGTGGGACACAGCTGATTGTGTGTTCCTGAGAGTGGGGCTGATTTCAAAACTTTGCAGACAAGTGACCTCCTGTTCCCTGAGCTGTGTCCTGTGACTTGCACAAAGTCCCCTCCTTCAATTCCTAATAGCAGTTTACACAGCTGGAGCAAATGTCTCCCCAGACCTTTGTAGTTTCCAATAAAGCTTTCCCTTTAGCAGCCACCTGCTGGTCTTTGAGCTTGAGCTTAATGCTGGCTGACAGGAGTTATTTTTAGAGATGTGGTTCATTGAAACCTGTTGTTGGTGGAAAACTGAAATATGCATTTTAACCACCTTGGTTCCAAAGCAGAGAGCTGTGGAGCTCAAGAGTATAATTTTTCCTGATTACAGGGTACACTTTAGCTGCAGTACGTAGGATGCAGAAGGCGGCTGTTTGTTTTGGTCTGTGTTTTCTGTAAATAAAAATGCAGTTTTTTTTGTTTTAACGCAATTTCCTTTTCACGTGTTGTTGGATAACGGAGGATGGAAGCTTTGGAAGCAGCTGCACTGGCTATCTTTTTAGATAATACTAATGCACCAATTGTGTTGTTCCCCACATTTCCCTCCTTGCTCCAATATATTCCTGACTATTCCTACTGCTGCATCCTCAGATAAATCAACACCAAAAGTGAAATGAGCATCAGCTGTGTGTTATATAAGAGGGTGTCCTTGTCCTATCATGACCTTGAGCTGATGTGGGAAGAGAGCAACATTATCAGTAGGATAATTGCTAAATTAAGGAAAGTTACTAAAGTGCTGGTGTTTTGTCCATCTTTTCTCTCCCTCTACTCTGTCCTGGTGAGGCCACGTCTGGAGTATTGTGTCCAGTTCTGGGCCCCACAGTTCAAGAGAGATAGGGAACTGCTTGAGAGAGTCCAGCAGAGGATACAAAGATGATTAAGGGAGTGGAGCATCTCTCTTATGAGGAAAGGCTGAGGGAGCTGGGGCTCTTTAGCTTGGGGAAGAGGAGACTGAGGGGTGACCTCATTAATGTTTATAAATATGTTAAGGGCAAATGTCAGGAGGATGGAGCCAGGCTCTTCTCAGTGATGCCCAATGGTAGGACAAGGGGCAGTGGGTATGAGCTGGAACACAGGAGGTTCCGCTTAAACTTGAGAAGAAACTTCTTTACAGTGAGGGTGACAGAGCCCTGGGACAGGCTGCCCAGGGAGGGTGTGGAGTCTCCTTCTCTGGAGACATTCAAAACCCGCCTGGACGCCTTCCTGTGTGATCTCATTTAGGTTCCTGCTCTGGCAGGGGGATTGGACTGGATGATCTTTCGAGGTCCCTTCCAATCCCTGACATTCTGTGACTCTGTGATTCTCCCTCATATTAACATCTGCCAGTGGTCAGTAAGCAGTTTTTTCATACAGCCAGAAAGCTCACCTCTTTGTTGGTCAAGAAATACACTGCAATCAGTTTTTCAGGAAAGGATGAAAATATAGGAGGGTTTGTAAGTACAAAAGGGAAGAACATGTGGTTCAAAGGAGCAAAAAGACCAGATGTTTTTAAAAAAGGGATAAAGGTTGCACCAACAAAATGTCCATCCAGCCATAAACTGGTCAAATGCATGGACAGAATATTTAAATCTGTGTGTAAAACGCAGTTGTGCATGCATCTAAGTACCGGTATATTTTGCACGCCAAAATACATCATTTGTGCACCACACTATTTGTTTGCAAGTGGCAGATTTTGCAGGTGCAATCTTCAGTTCCTTCTTTGAAAATCTGGCCCTGCTTTCAGTGAGATACGTATTTGCTGGGAGGCTTTAATGAGCAAACATGTTTCCATCCCTATCCATCATTCTGGTTTCCATTTCAGGCACGGATCAGAAAATTTGGACCCAAAATCTTACAGTTGCTGACGGAGTGGACGGAGACATTCCCGTATGACTTTCTAGAGCGGATGATTGGCCATCTGAAAGACATGATTCACAGGATAGCCCCATGTGATGAGGTGAGGATGTCTGACCTGGGATCTGATGTGGAGATATTATGTTCTTTTTCCCACTTAGTTCCTCCTTTTCCTCCTTTTGCCACGTTCTGTTTTGTGCCTCTTCCTGAGACCTCTTACAGTTTTGCTCTCCTCTAACAGTTAAAACCTTTAGTAGCTTCCCTGAAAGCCACATCTCTCAGTGTAGGTAACTCTGTGGCAGTGATGTGGGGACACATTGGAATGATCAATGGAATTTATTTATTGCACATCAAATTGTAAGAGAATAACATTCCCATTTTATAGATGGAAGACCTGAGGCATAGCATAGGCTGGATGTGGTGATCACAATTCAAATAGCAACAGAGCTGTGGTCTCCCAAGTTATAGTCTAGCAGAGGAGTGAAGTATCATGACCTGAGACCAACCATCCTGGCCAAGCAGTGGTTCAGGGAGCGCTCCAGGATGTTTAGTTCAGTGAATGAGGAGAGGAGCAAGCAGCCAGTTGTCAAGTGATTGCATTGGGGAGCTAAAAAAGGTTATCAGTTGCCTGAAGGTACCTGATGAAGTCTTCCTTTCTCTAAGAAAATGAGTGGTTGTGAAAGAATAACCACCAAAGGGTGTTCATGGTCCTTTCTTGTCTCAGTCTTCTCCATTTGCTTATTTCGTTGAGCACCTGTGCCAAAATCTAATTTCCACTCTTTACTTTCCACATCTTCAGTCTGGTAGGGTTTTTTTAAAAACAATCTTTGCATTTTATCAATTTTTTCATTAGAGAATCTACCAAGGGTTTGGCTTACACCTTCCTGTCTTGTGGAAGAGTTCACAGACCCTAGGCTTGAGCTGGCTGGTACTGTAAAGCAGGGACCCAGACAGGAGATGAGTAGGCACAGAGCAGCAGACTCTGATCACAGTTTGACTGATGCCACTGGAATCTCCATCAAAGTTCTCAGGATCTATGGGCTAAGAGATAGCTCCTGTTGAATCCAACCTGTCTGGCTGATATGGTGAGGTAGCAAGGGGCAGTCCTTATGTTTGAAGAAAATACAAAAGTTTATGGACTTGTAGCTGCTTGGGAGCATGAGAGTGGCAGAAGACAGCAGTGTGTGGCCTGCTGAGCAAAACTCAGTCTAGATGGGGCTCTATGGTCTTGGTGTTCAAATGCATGAGCCATGTGTGTGGCAGAGTAGGACACAGTGAATGGTGTCTCTGGGAGACCTGCTTGCAAATTCAGGTGGGTGAATCCCATAAATTAATTTGGAAACATTTAAAATACCACAAAATCCATGAAAATAATAGGGATAAGAGCGAATACTACCTAGGGAGTCTCTAATTACTTCTAGGTTAACCATGCGATGTGGAAGAATTCAGTTCCATTGGCTACATGAAGGCCTGGCTTCAGGCCACAGATGGGTGCAATTCAGGAGAACAGAAAGCACATACCCAGAAGTCCAAGAAAGAGAGGAGTGGAGAACGAAGGAATTAGCAGGGTTGCGGCACAACAGAAATTAAATTGGACCCTCCTACCCACATGAAACACGAAAGACATGGAAACAGCTGCTCTTGGGCTGGGCTGGCATCATGGCTGGCACTTTTGGGTGGCTTTAGGCTGGCATGGCAGAGCTTGGCTGGCTGGACTGGCCAGCCTATGGGAGAGAAGGAGTGGGAAGGGGAAGCTGTGTGACACACAGATGGAGGTGAAGGGAACACAAAGGACTTTCAGAAAGAGCTAAGGTGGCCTCAGCTGGGGCTGTTCAGCCTGGAGAAGAGAAGGCTCCGGGCAGATCTTATAGTGCCCTCCCAGTACCTGAAGGGGCTACAAGAAAGCTGGGGAGGGACTTTTTATAAGGGCAGTTAATGACAGAACAAGGGGAAATGGGTTTAAACTGGAAGAGGGCAGGTTTAGATTAGCTATTAGGAAGAAATTCCTTACTGTGAGGGTGGTGAAACACTGGCCCAGGTTGCCCAGAGAAGCTGTGGCTGCTCCTCCCTGGAAGTGCTGAAGGCCAAGTTGGATGAGGCTCTGAGCAACGTGGTCTAGTGGAAGGTGTCCCTGCTGATGGCAGGGGGGTTGGAACTGGATGATCTTTAAGGTCCCTTCCAACTAAAACCATTCTATGATTCTATGACCAAAGCAGTAAAACTTCTCCTTCAATAGGAAGAGGCCATGAACTTGCTCTTGCCAGCCACCAAGAAAGGTGCCTTGTAGCCCTTCAGCATCTGAAGTGAGAGAAACCCATACAGACCCATCAAAATCATGTCCACTGGAAAGAACCAGCCAAAAGGGTGGAGAACAGGGCTTTATAGGTGCTCTTTAAAAGCAGTAGCTGCCCTGGTGAAGACTCATAAATGTTAAAAATCATCTTTTTGCCTACAAAACAATAGTTTCCTTGCCTAGCCTGAGCAAGTGCTGGGCACCTTCGCTCTGGAGTGGGTATAGCTGTGTACCCACACTTATGGGTGCCCTGGGGGGGCAAATAATTGTTTTTCAAATATTACTAGATACCATAATTACAAGTGATTATATCTGAATTATGGGTGCCCTGGGGGGCAAATCATTGTTTTTCAAATATTACTAGATTCTATAATTACAAGTGATTATACCCGAGCAAAATCAATAATTAGTTTAAGAAACAGCTCATCTCCTGCAAATGCAAATTTTCCTTCTTTAAGGGACAGCACAAAAGAGTGATGATGCCCATTAATTGTTTGGAAGAAAGTTGTTCCCATTGTGGATCGTAGAAATTAAAGACTGAAAGATTTGTGAGGTCATCTAGTCCATGTAGGTTAATGCAGGATTTTCCCCTGCAATGTCTGCTCCTGTCCTTCTTAGAGTCCACTTTCCAAAGGCTCTGTGATGTGCTTAGAAAGGTATCCATGCTGAGAAGCATTTCTTAGTAAGTGCTGTGATTTGCATTTAGAGTTAGAAATTTTAATTAAAATTTGAGCTCCTAAGCCACCTGCTGAGGCCTGCCATCTTCAGAGGAACTTTCCCAGTAAAGAACGAAACGTTTTCTTTAAATATTAAACAGCAGTATGCTTCTTTTGACTGTTAATGTGACAATGAGGTGGAATCAGTTGATAGAGTCCAGCATGCAGCCCCTTTACAACGGGGGGTCACTTTGTGGCAAGGTAATTACCAGCATGTTCAAGGTAATGAACAATGTTGTTTTCATTTAGTGAACATAGTTGAAAGGAGGTAGGAAATGCTTTTAAAAGGGTGAAAGTAGGATTTTTTTTATTATTATTATTTTCTCCCCCAACACACATAGAAAAGCTTTCTAGGCAAGGGTGCGCGCCACCGATTTTCAGTGAGTCTCTTCAAGAGCTCTGATTTCTGAATAATCTTTTTTGTGTCCATTAAATGTCACTCTTATTTCATTGTTTATTAGGTGGTTGGCTTACCTGAGTCTGTTTACTGTTGTCTCTATCTATATTATTGTGCTGTATTCCCTACAAAACCAGGTGAAACTAGATCCTTTGATAAGGATTTAGTGAAAGACTGGCTAATATGCATGTCTTTTGAGCAATTTTATGCTGCTTTTTGGCTTTTCATCCAAACAGTGAAGAATTTGATACTGCACAGACATGGCTGGTCCAAGATTTCTCATCCAAACCCCTTTTTGAAAGAGAACTGGGTTTATAGATAAAAGTATTTTAGCCAAATGTTTTATAAGCTGTAGAAGACTTGGATTTCACTGCTGTGCCTGTCCCCCTGCCCTGAAATTAACTCCTCTGTTTACAAAATATATTCACAAAATACCAAATATGTCACCATTTGTGTTCCCACTAAAAAATAACATTCTGTTCATAGAGCTTGATGAGCAATGCTGAGATTTGCAAACACACCTGGATATGAAACAGAGAAATATTTAGATGGTGTTCAGTAGTTTGGGTCCAGGACAGTCTTTGTAAATCAAAAGCGTGACCATCTGTTTGAATGAGGAGTTAAGATGAAGGCAGTCAGTAGTCTGTCTTCCTTGAGCTAGGGTACATCAGGAACAGAGAAAAACTGAAAGAATGTTTTAAAATCTTCTGAAATTTATTGAAATAATTTATTTTTTACATCTTCTCACTCAATTTTCACTCCTCCTGTGTGATTTGCTTCCAAATATAACACGTGTTGTCATTCTCCAAGAGAAGTCCCTCCTGCCTTCTAGGTATTTGCTTCATTTTGGACTTACCAGCTCTGTTTTGCCAAAATGCCTGATGACATCCTGCTTATCTGGCCCGTGTTCCAGCCCAGCTCAAGAGAGCATCTTCCTTGAGTGAAATGAGAGGTTCCTCAGCAATGTGAAACCTTCTGCTAGAAAAGCTGTATAAAAGTTAGTGTTGCAGCAAAAGTTGAAGCACTTGGGATGTTCTAAAGGTTTCCAGTCTCAGACTGTAATGGAAACAGGGTAGACATGAGCATGTTATTCTTCCCTGTGAAGTAGTAGGAGATGCTACTTCCAGTGTTTAGATGGAATCCTGTGTAGGTGAGAAGAGCACTGACTTTGGCTTCTGGTGCCTCGAACACCTAAAACATGAGTGCTGTCAATGCCCAACATTGAAGACTACCCACAGTCTACAAAAATCTGAAGAAGACAAAGGCTGTATCTAAACCATGGGATTCAGGAGTTCTTCCCAAGACTTCACTTGGGCTACATCCAGCTTGGGATGCAACACAGGTGTGTGTTGGTCTTCACGGGAAGGCACACTCTGGCCAAGTCCCTGTTGTGATGATGAGGACTGCGTGGAGGGTGCCAGGGTGTACATCTGCTGCACAGTACAGATGTAACAGAAGAGGGCTTCATGCCAGATATGGTTTCACACTGACAGATTACAAACTGATGTTACTGGCAACTTGACGTTACTAAATCCTGTTTGGATGGGGGGTGAGGAGTTATTCCACTTGTGAGCAGCCAGAGGATCTCTCCACTGTGTGCCTTTGTGCTGGAAGAGGAACTTGTAGTAGGCCAGCCTGCAAACTGTTTTCCCAAGTGACTGTGCTGTTTGAAGTGGAGCAAGCACCCATTGCACCCATGCCTGATGCTTCTATTTCTGACTGAGCCCACAAGGCCATGTTCCTCAGCAGGTTACACCCCATGCTCCATGTGAGGCTTTTGCCCAAGGACATTTCCAACTAATCCTTGTCATTAGAGCCCATCCACCAGTTCACTGTTATATCAATTTTATGATGTCTACATCTGTCAGTCATGAAGAGTTGAAGGTATTTCTTTCTACCAACCCTCCATGGCCAGTGGCTCCACTCATTGTCTGTAAAGAGTTGCTCCAGCTCTGAGAACAACCTGAGCAACTTAGTAATGACCATCCTGCTGAGCACATGGCTGCTCTTGGAATACGATACGAGCTTCCTTCAGTAGCACTTCACATTTTGGATATTAAATACTCAAAACTACATGATGCTGAGACCACACCAACTGGGTAGCAAGTAGCAGCATGCTTCTGCTGCACTCAGCTCAAAAGGATGGAGAGAAAAGCGTTAGATACGTTTCTTATTCCTCATAAATAAGAGTTGACTGGGCACCACTAATGGGTAGAGTTCTCTGCCAACACGTAGCTGACATAAAGGATAGGCACTGGATGGTGCTGCGCTCCAGAAAGCTGCGATAACTCATGTTGTAGCATTACCTCTCCTCTGATCCTGATGTTGGCAGGAGTATGTGAGTATCCGTGCCAGCCCAACCCATCAGTCCTGCCTGCCTCTTCTCTTGACTGCAGTCTGTTTCTGTGGCCCAGAGCACAGGACTGTAATTAAGCCAACTGGTTATTCTGAAATAGGCTTGTTGAAAATAAAATGGTAACCTGGTGCTGGCTTAGGAGTATTTTGCAGAAGGGAAAATTCAGCAGAAAACCACTCCTTTGTTAAGTTCTGTGGGTGGTTTATGTTTCTTTCTCTCCCTGTCTCTCCAGGCCTACTGGAAGAAGATGAATCAGCTTTTGCAAACCCTGAATCAGAAGCTTGCAACCCTCAGCCATGGGCAAGAAGGGATTGTCAAGATCAGTGCTGCTGTCTCTGATAAGCTGGTTGCCTTTAAAAGTAAACCTCCATCCATTCAGAGAGAAATCCTGAGCGTCTGCAGTGACCCTTACACTCTGGCCCAGCAGCTGACACATGTGGAGCTGGTAAGTAGGAATGGTTCCCAACTTCTGCAGTCAGAGATATTATTTTAAGCCATCAGCTGCTAAGTATTCCAGACACAAACAAAAAATGTCTGCGCTGCTGCAGCACATCTCGTGCTGTATCAGCACTGCAGCAGGAGGCAGGGTTTGACAGGTTGAGAGATGCTTGGGAAGCAAGCTATCTATCACTGTTCTGTACATCTTGGGGTGGGTCACTTTACCTTCTCGGCTTGCTAATTTGTGAAATGTAAGTCACACTTCCAGTAAGATCAAGGAGTTCCCACTTCTGTAAGGTGCTCTGAGCCTCACAACCTGAAGGTGCTCTTGAAATAGCTGCTCATTAGCCCTTTTGATTAATTTGGATGGAATTTTAACAGTTCCAGTCCATTCCCACAGATATACAAAGCATCTGAGATGTCTGATGTGTTTTTCATTCTCCCTTTGGGACTTTGTGCGTGGACATACCAGCGTGTGCAAATACCACCCACACAAAGTCCTGCTGTTTCCCTCCTTGGACTGCAGTTCACTCTCACACAGGCTCTTGATGGTAATCACTCCAATTTCAGTACCAAGATGTTGGACAACCTGTTGTGTTGCACGCACTTCTCCCAGGTTCAGGTCCTCCATGTAGACTTCCTGGATGTTCATGGAAGAACATAAAACATTGCTGCCATCTGCAGATCTCTTGATGCTCTAATGATTCCCTGCTGCCTGTCCTCCTGTAGACAGTGTTCATTCTTGAAAGGAAGGCTGAAAAAATAAACCATGAAGTGGACTGTGGATTGGAGTGAATATCATGGAATTATCCTTGGGAATTCTGAAGGTGGTTGACATTCTAATTGTCAAGAAGTGGAATAGTTCAGTAAACCCCAAATTTAGGATCATCTCACCCTGGTTAGTTTTCAGAACACGCGACGTTGCCTCTCTTGGCTTTGTTTAACTGAAGCCAGAGTAGAAGTACTTTTTCCTGGAGTTTTTTCTTGCTTTTCTACTCCTCCACAGTACAACTGTCTTCCAAGGGGATATTCCCTGGAACTGGGGCACCGCTGCACTTTTCAAACTGATGCAGCCAGAGGTTTTCATTCCACTTTACTGAAATCAGTGCTCTCTACCTTCTCTTTCACTTACTGCATTCAGTACACCAACTGCTCTGCACTGAAACTGTCCAAAGCTTGTTTGTTAGTAGGAATTATTTGATATTTATTTAATAACAGTTATTTGTTAGTAAGAGCCCTACATAGTTGATCAGTGGCAAGGTGAGAAGCCAAGAGAAATAGCAAAGGAGTAGCCATAAAATTTTCACTTACTGTTAATTTTATTGTTGCTTGAGTGTTCTAAGTTTGGGCTGCAGGAATTCCAAAATATCTTCTCTGAAATACCTTTGTGGCCTACAACAAATTGGTTTTTTTTTTTCTAATAAACGTGTTTAAGGGAATTGAAAAGCCTACTAAGAAGGCCAGTGGTGTAGCTGGAACTACCAGGTTTGTGCAGGAGCTGGTGGACATGGAGTGCTCTTTACAAAGAGAGATCTGGATGCTTTGTTTACCCTTGTTTTGGGTGGTGTCTGGGACATGCTACAGTGTAAGCAATGCCTTTAACATAAGCCTGTGCATCATCAGTGCCTTCCTTCCCCAGTGGCATAGAGCCACCACCTTGGGGCACCACCTGAGCTTCACTGGGTGGGGAGGCAGGGTCAGAGCATTGTGTGTGCAGATGAGCAGCACATTGCTGTGGTTACCAGATCATAGCATTGCTGCTATTTTAACGGCTGGGAAGCAAAGCTATTGAGTAATGGTGGACCACAGCAGGTCTGTGGCAGCGCCAAGGACAGAACTGAGGTCTGCTGGCTCCCAGACAGAGCATTGTGCATCCAGCACCTTTCTCTCTGCACAGTAGAGTGGGCTCTTACTGTGGGTTGTCAGTAATGAGACATATTTATTCTAATTTTCTTCTTTCTGCTGAAATAACTCTAATTGTTCTTATGAATTTTAATGTCTGGTGCTACTTGGCTGTCTACCAGTTCAGTAACACCATTCAGAGCTGACAGATAATGGGGATGTCAGAAAGAGAAGAGATTCTGGCGTGCTTTCTTATTTCTCCCTCTCTTTTTTCCCCCCTCTAATAGGAAAGGCTAAGTCACATTGGACCTGAGGAGTTTGTGCAGGCATTTGTACATAAAGACCCTCTGGATGGCACCAAGGTATGATTTGTCCGCGTGCGAAGTCTCTCCTGCAATTACTGCTTGTTCTAGATGAGCTGATGTGATGAGATCCATAAGAGCAGGCCCTGGGGTGCACGTTGACCATGGACAGGCCAGCTGATGACCTGTATTCTCATGGCAAGGATGGGATGTGTTGGTAGAACTCATGCTGGTAGGTCATTGCTGTTCCTTCCTGGTGATGGTATGTCCTAGCATGAGACTGGCCAGCACCCTGATGTTCTGCTTTCTGGCTTGTTCCTCCTGCTTTGACCAGGGCAGAAGGCTCGCAGCTGTACACAACCAGGGAATGTCTGTTCCCAGTGTTGAAAGTGTAAAGACTCTGGACGTGATGTAATGCCCATAGCGTGTGCCCAGACACCACAGTCATGAGTCAGTGCGTCATGAATCAACATACTCTTCTCTCTCTACACAATAGCTTTTAACCCAGTGCACCACAGGGAATGGAGAGCCTGATCAGGGCTTCATCCAAAGTTCATGGAAGCCAGTTGGAGTTTTTCCACTGATTCCAGTGGGGTTTAAAGCAGCATTTCAGTGAGTGTCTCAATAAGGAAAGAGACTTCCTGGCTGGAGAGGGAGAGTCGGAGATTTTACATACTTCCAGAAAAGAAAGAGGGTGGAAAATTCTTCCCCAGAACTACATACAGGCTCCCACTGAGGTCATACATCAATGGCAGAATTTCATAATTGGATGTTGAAGGTAACAGGAAGACCTCTGTAGACCTCTGCTTACAGTGCTGCCCAAAGAGCACCAGAATAGCCTGTAATGGTGAAAAAATGGATGGATGAATGGATTAATAAAAAGTGCAATATTGGGCTCTTTCTTCCTCTTATTGTAGTGATGGAGATTCTGCAGCTGGTTTCAGGGAGAGGGGAGTGGGCAGAGATGGTGTTTGAAGTCTTCTTAGTATTGATTGCATCCTTTAGGAAGAAACCCCAACGTAGAAAAGATGTGTCAGAAACATGAAATAGCAAACCAGCCACAGTGAGATCTCAGCAACCTGCTGCAAATGTAAGGGATAAGGCTGAAAACGAACAGTTGTCATATCTGTTGTAAAGTAAAATGAAAGAGATCAGATGAGGGCATTAAATTTGAGTGAATTTTGGAAAAGTGGGAGAGAAGCAGCAGTGAGCGAAGTCAAATTGCATAAAGGCAGAGAGGGGAAGGGATGCTGAGAGGAAGAAGGAAATTTTCAGTAATAAATAAATGTACAATGGTTGTAGCTGGATCTGGAGTTTCAAATGCAAGACCAGTGTGGAATGCCAGTAAGATGTGAAGAGAAATTGAGATTACAAGGTAAACATAAGGAAACAGCAGCAAAGGTGGATGGGAAGGATTAGAATAAGAGGCGGAGAGCCTGAAAATAATTATGGGATGGGAAATCCAAGGAAATAATCTTGACAGGCTATGGCAAGCTACTTGATAGTTATGCATGTTCTTCAGATGCAAATCTGAACACTGAGGTGCTGCCCAGTAACAGTGTCTTCAATGAAGTATATAATAACAAAAAAAATAGCAGGTACAAAGCAGGGATGCTCCACTGCGTTGCCTTTTAAGTTCAAGGCAATGTCTTCCCCCAGAAGGATCTACTTAGTAAAGCAAAACTGCTGTAACATTTTCACACAAAGGCATAACACTAACAAATTATTGGGTTTCAAGTCAGCAAGGCTGATGAAAGCAGAGGTAGTTTGCAACTTTTCTCCATCCTTTCCCTGGGCTGACCAGAGGTCTCAGCAATGATTTAGAAGAACCTGAGCACCAGGGTAAGGTATAGCTGAGTTCAAGAAGGACAGGGAACTGCTTGAGAGAGTCCAGCACAGAACCACCAAGATGATTAAGGGAGTGGAGCATCTCCCTGCTGAGGAAAGGCTGAGGGAGCTGGGGCTCTTTAGCTTGGAGAAGAGGAGACTGAGGGGAGACCTCATTAATGTTTATAAATATGTAAAGGGTGAATGTCAGGAGGATGGAGCCAGGCTCTTCTCAGTGATGCCCAATGGTAGGACAAGGGGCAATGGGGGTGAGCTGGAACACAGGAGGTTCCACTTAAACTTGAGAAAAAACTTATTTACAGTGAGGGTGACAGAGCCCTGGGTCAGGCTGCCCAGGGAGGTTGTGGAGTCTCCTTCTCTGGAGACATTCAAAACCCACCTGGACGCCTGTCTATGTGATCTCATTTAGGTTCCTGCTCTGGCAGGGGGATTGGACTGGATGATCTTTTGAGGTCCCTTCCAATCCCCAACATTCTGTGATTCTGTGATCATGGCACCTGACAGAGCATTGTACACAGTGGCACAAACCTTACGTGGAGTGACATCTCCTTCCCCAACCCATGGAGACCACCTCTGCTAGCCACGGGGAACTGGCTCTGCTCTGAATTCCCTCCAGCTGGAGATCCCATTAAACATCCTTCCTGCATGAGGGCTTCAAAAGGCTTCACTTAGGGATGTTTATCAAGCGCTCCGAGTTGCAGATGGAAGATGCTAGGGAAGTGCTAAATACTGTTGCCATTTCTAAAGCTTAACCTTTAAAAAGCAGTCTGTTTCAGCTTTCACTGTTGCACATTTTTCCCAAGTGTTGTGGGATTAGCTGTGGTTCTCACACCCTGGCAGAGGACAGCAGTGTTGAGATGGAAATGCTGTATTCAGAACCAAACCTGGCTGTTGTGTCCTGTTTTTTTTTGCTATAATGAGGAAAAATACCAGAGCTCAAGAAAAGCAAATGTTATGGGTAGACTAGGGCTGCTTTGGGTTTCCTCTGTTTTGTTTGATATTTTTTGTGCTGCTTGCTGACATTTACTTTTGAGATGCTTTTAATTTATTTATTTATGTATTTATTTATTCTAATATATAGTCTATGCATAAAGTGGCTAGGAATTTCTGGCTTGTTAAGATTTTCTCTCCATAGCATGGTATGGTGTTTTCTGTTTCTAAACATGCCTGTGTGCAAAATCACAGGTGAATATTTTCTTCCTTTGAATTACCTCAGGAATCATACTAAGCCTCATTTCTTAAGGTGTTTTAGTCACTTGTTTAACTTACCTAATATGGGTAATCCCATTGACATTAATGTGTTTATGCATCGTGATTTTCTTCTTAGTGGCACGTATTTATGGCAGCTCTGGGAAATGATCATCTTAATAAAACAACAACAACAACAAAATCAGTATTCTCTGATACCCTCTAGTGGATGATAATGAATGTTCAAATAAACCACGTGAACTCTAGAGAGCAGTGTGTCCTAGATGGACAGTCTAAGAATTTAGGGTTGGGAGAAGGACTTGAATTCTCATAATCCCAAGCAACATCTTCAGGCTGTGTGAACTGACCTATCAGTCCACTGAAGGCAAATTATCTGTTGATGTCAAAGGAACTGGAAGAGTTCAGCCAAGTATCTGCTCCCACCGCCTCTATCAGTTATGGGAATTTATGTTGTGTTTCATACCAAAAAAAAAAAAAAAGGAAAAATATGCTTTTTGTAGTGGCTCTTATCAGTGAAGGATCTCTGGCATGTAAGTGACCTGTTCAAGAGCAGCCATCAGGACAGAGCTGGTCACTAGAGAGCCTATTATCCTGAAAACTCAATAAAGGAAATATTTTTTCCCCATAAAGAAGCAACCAGAACTATGTTTTCTTTTGCTTATCTCTTGCTCATTCACTTCACTAAACTGTGGTCTCTCCCCTCCAGAAAAGGGCTGTGGGTGGCTGCATTTACTGAAGTGAAGGAAGTCCTGGATTCAAAGGCACAAGCTGTGGAAGACTCTGCTTGTCTTGCTTTTCCTGCATGTTGTTGCTGCCTGAATCCTGCAATGCCCTGGCTGTTAGTACCCCTGTGACCAAGGGTCAGGGCAGACTGTGTCAGTGGACAATTTGCTCAGGCAAAATGGGGCTGTTTTTAGTGTGGATTGGGTGGTGTGACACACTCAGCCAGACCCTGTGCACCCCCTCAACCACCCACCTACCCACTGACTTATTGAACGCAGCCCTTAATGCACAGTCTTCCACGTGCATGAGAGAGACGTGGCCAAGTAATTACCTCTGTGTAGTATTTATCTTAGTGATCAGGCAGCGAACTGAACCACAGTTATATGTCTTTCTGTGCTTTTTTTTTTCCTCCCTAGACTTGTTTCAGTGAACAGAAGAAGACGAGTAACCTTGAGGCCTATGTGAAATGGTTCAATAGACTCTGCTATCTCGTAGCAACAGAAATTTGCATGGTAAGTGAAAAGCGTGTGTCACGTTTCACCACGTGCATCACGTACCCGTTTTGAGACTGTACATTCATAAGCAAACCTGGGGATTTATTTCTTAGGACCAAGCTAAGCATCTGGCAGTAAGTTTTAGTAATATTGCACTTGCAGAAGCGACCTGATAAATGACAAGCATATTGCAAAACAGAGCTGGCGACACACAGGGGATATACTGTTCTCTTGATGTAGCAGGAGCACAGTGTGGAATAATGAACCCTGCAGGGAGAAAGAGAGGAAAAAATGCCTTGAATTATCCAGTGAGATTTCTCCTGGAAAAGATTCTAGTGGAGCAGTATTTGTTATCTGTCATCCTAAAGCTCTGTTGTGCTTGTGAATTCCCATTGCGTGGGTGTTTGTCCTGCTGCCCATTACTGTAGCTGTGACTAGTGGGTTTTTAACTTGGTAATGGTTTTAGTTTGTTTAACTTAGCCCCATCAAAATGAAATGGATGTTTTCTCCTTTGAAAAAGGTATAGAAGGGAGGAATAGTAATGATATAAACAGCCTAGATAGCTTGTGACTCAGAAGCATAACCATTTGAAGATCATCTTTGGAAAAAGTGAGGTGTTTCCAGCCCAGTTAAAATGTGGATTTAAAATGCAAGTGTCCGTTTGTCCTGGCCATCTTGCTGAAAGAGAGAGGAGAGGGGAAGGAGATTAATACAGTCAAACAAAGTCTTTCTGGGACAAAGATGCTGCTGTTCTATGGGTGTGAAGTCCTGCCCTTAGGAAAGCCTATGCTGATGTGCCCATTGACTTGAGAGAGGCCAGGAGGGAGCTGAGCTGCTTCAGGGCTGTTTGGGCTGCCTCTTCCACTGCTAAGAGATTAACTGAGGCAAGCCTGGGAATTGCTGTGAATTTCTTCTGTGACACAGCAGTAAAAGCTTTGATTTTAGAGACAGCCAGTCACCAGCATCCGCTGGATTGCTAGAACAGAATTAGGGCCAGTGACAGATAGCAGGTGGCCCAAGCTGTGCGTGGAGCCCTGCTGTATGTGGAACAAACACCGAAGATACCCTCCAGTTCTACATATGCTCATAACAGATATCTGTTTATTTTACTTTGCAGCCTGCAAAAAAGAAACAGCGAGCACAAGTCATCGAATTCTTCATTGACGTTGCCCGAGAGTGCTTTAACATAGGGAATTTTAATTCGCTGATGGCAATCATTTGTAAGTGCAGCTTCTAACCAGACCTCTCCATCAGCTGTCAAGGTGAAAAAGGAAACCTGACTCTGATCCATGGCTCTCTTTTCTTTCTCACTCATAGCTGGAATGAATATGAGTCCAGTTTCCAGGTTAAAGAAGACTTGGTCAAAAGTGAAAACAGCCAAATTTTTCATTCTTGAGGTAAAAAAAAAAAAAA